TCCCCCAAAGGTAGAAGGGGGGTGCATATAACAGCAAAACAACACCAGCAAGAAAAAAATAAGAACAACAACAACAACAAAAACAAAACTAGACTGAATACTGCAGTCTACAATCACAGAAAAAGGAGAGGAGGGAGAGAAGAAAGAAAGAAAGAAAAACTGTAGCCTAATATGAGTACGACTTTAATGTCCTCTCTTCAAAAGCTGCCTGAGAGATTTCAAGATGCCACTGTTGGTTGTGATGCTATACCTCAGGCTTTAATTTAATTTTCGGCCTGTTTTGTTTTTAAACTCTCTTTCTCTCTCTACAGCCCTGTCCTGCCCTTTCCCATATTTATAAAGAAAAACCCAACATTTAAGGCCCCCTGTTGGGCTGAGTATCTGTGTGCATGCATGGCAGAAGAATCCACCAGTGGTGAGGGTGGGGGGTGTCCATTTGCTCAGACACACCCCCCCAGTCACCAGAATGGAGGTGCGCAAACAGTGGGGGGGGGGGCAATGACCAGATACCAAAAATAAATAAATAAATAAATAAAAACAAAGCAAAACCGACAAAGTGTATTGTCCACCTTTGCTCCAAGGTTCCCACGGCATTTTTCCATGGTGTTTCTGCTCCCATGCTTGGTCTTGCCGTTTGGTCTCACCCAAGATGTCAGCTCCTGGCCTCCGAGCCTGGCAGATTCAAAAGTACCCAATTTCTTACTTTAGCTTCAAGTTCCACTAGCTATAAGCCTTCAAACTCTAAAAATATACTTTAAAAATATTCCTATCTCTGTGGTTCCGAGTTTTGGAGCTGTGTCCTGGATCTGCTTTGCCTGATGTTTTGTGTTATTGCTGATGGTGAACTTCACTGCACCTCCACCCTAGTCGCCATCCTGCTCCCAAGAATCATAACATTCTTGTAAAAGAAGTGTAAAATGTGAAAACTTGCACAAATAGATATCAGATTATAAAAACTATTGTCTCTACAACACAGAGAGTCCAGTGGGAGAGAATACAGACCAGAAGCAAACCAGAACAGATAGGAACTGCACAGTGAGGGTGCTAGGAAAACTGGCCAGGAAGTGAAATAACAGGAGACACATCCCTGCCTCACACCATATTCCAACATCAATTCTAGGTAGAAGGCAAACTCGTGCCTTTAGTAGACAATCCAGAAGATACTCTTCCTGATCTCATGGCAGGGAACATTTCTCAAATAAGACCAAAAAGCACTAGTCATTAAGGAAAATATTAATAGATTTGACTCATTAAAATTAGGAGCGTCTGTCCATAACCTCACTCTTCTCAACAGACTTCTGTTTTGGATCTGTCCATTTCTGAGAGGTGTGTTTCTTATTTGGCTATAACCTTGTGCGCTCTCTGTGTCCGGCTACGGAGTTCTGTTTCTCTCATTGGAACTCCTTCAGTGGTTAGTTCACAGAAGTCTGTTGGAGGTAAACTTTCCAAATTTTTGTATTGTTGGAAATGCCCTTTAGTTCATTATCACTCTTAAATGATAATTTTGTTGGTGTAGAATTTTATCTTCAAAGTTTTTGTCTCTTTGAAAATGTTCACAATCTTGGATTCAGTATTGTTGATGAAAAATCTGTTATCAATCTGATTCTTACCCCTTTGTAGGTAAGCTGTCTTTTCTTTCTGGTGGCTTTGAGTTTTTTTTTCTTTTTTCTTGATGTTCCAAAATCTCCTTATCAAGTATCAGTAAATGAATTTGTTTTTTCGTTACCCTTCTTGACATTCATGGGGTCCTGTCAGTCTGAGGACTCACATACTCGGTTCTGAGAAAGCACGGTATTGCCTCTCCTAGCTCCTTTTTTGGGACCTTCCATTCTGATGGCACCCTTTCTTGTAAGTCAGTTCTGATATAAGTCGAATATCTCATTGTAGTTTTCATTTTTATTGCCAGAATCTTTATAAACCCAGTCTTTGCCTTTGGGGGTTGGAAACATTACATATAAACTCACAGATATCATGCCATCAGTAAATTGCATGCTGCAACATTGTATGTAGTACATGTTACTAACAATATGATGCACAGAACAAAAACTGGCTTAGGTGCAGTTGGTAGTGACTGAAATACTGTACATGCCCGGGACTATCTATATCAGAACAATGTTGAAACTTATGAATCTGCCCTTTATACACGTAACTATTTTTTAACTCACTCTTTATTTCTATCTAGTAGAATGCATGTTCTTTTGTTCATTGAGCTGAGCTCTTCCTAATGATACTGACTCTTCATTTCCTCAGTTATTTTGGTCTGTATACTCATTTCCTTTTTAGAATGAATGTCAATTTCACAGTGAATTCATTTTCTTGTTGTCAGTTGGCGCTGTTGTTTAAGATTTCTTTGTATCGTTGCCATGGGTTTTGTGTCTGTGGGAGAAAATCTGCCCAGTTTTCCATCGGGAAACCAGAAATCTCTTTTCAAAAGCATCTAGAGTTTCAGTACCATTGTTCTGTTTTCATTCCCTGTGTGTACGTTCTCGGTTTCCACTCTCATGACGGCAGAGCTCTGTGGCATCGTGGGCAGTTGAGTTGGATGGCCAGCTCATGGCCCAGCTTTGTCTCCTTGAGCAAGTCTTTTGCCTCATTTTTACTCTTTGTAAACTGAGGAAAGAAAAGCATGTGGCATTGGGTCTTTGTCACGATGAAGTGAGAAGATAGCCCAGCACACAGAAAACACATCATGTTGTGGTAAAAATGTACTAAATTGTTTCAGTGGGCTTAAGATCACACTCAGAGATTCAGGGGTCACTTAAAGCAGCGGTGTCTGCAGGGGTGACTGAAGAGGTGGACAGTCTAACCTGCTGCCCACTGCAGGCTGCCTGCCATGACTAAACCTAGCCAGAGGGTCCAACGGCCCTTGCCTTCTCCTGAGCTGGACACCCCCATGGGGGGTGGGTAGGAGGTCTGTCAGTGGGAGGGGCTTTCTGACTGCTCTGCCATAGCTGTTACATGGATGACACATGGAGTCAACCCGGTGGGCAGAGGACAGAACAGGCCTGGGGGTAAGGGTGGGGGTGGGGGCACAGGGCAGAGCAGACCCTGGGGGGTAAGGATGGGGGTGGGTGGCAGAGGCCAGAGCATGCCAGAGGTAAGGATGAGGAGATCAGAGGACAGAGTTGTGTGAGGGGGGGTGGGGGGGAAGGAAAGGACAAGGAACCCTGAGGGCAGAGGACAGAGTGGCCAAGGGTAAGGATGAGGAGCCCCCCTAGGGCATGATTGTGAGGATCCCCCCCCTCCGTTGCCTCCCCAGGTTGCAGCCTCCTCCCCCCTCAAGTCAGTTGCACACAGGTACCGTCCCCTTCCCGACCACAGTCCCTGCACGGAGCTCTGAATGCCAGCTCCTCAGACCTCCCCCTCCCTCCCTCTCCCCTCAGAGAGGAGAAAACCTAACCACACCCACTGCCTTGGAGCCCATTGTGACCCTGTACTGGGTGTTCGGAACTATAACTCTAATGGAGCACATAGCTTCCTTGTTGTCCTGAGGAGTGGGTTTGAACTGCTGACCTTAGCAGCGCAACATCTCACCAAGAGCTCAAATGTGCAGCACATTGTTTGGTGGAAAGGGTCCAGAAGAAAACGTCACATGAGGGAGCTAGACCCGCGGAGTCTGTGCAACGCTGGAACGTGCCACCCCACCCGGCCCAGGGGCCTTTGTCTGTGAACCCATTTCCTTATCAAGCCCCCTGCAATGGTAATACTGTCCCCAGCCAAGACACCTGGTGTGATGCTGTAGGCTTAGCACTGGACAGCTAACCACAAGGTCAGCAGTTCAAACCTACCATCCACTCCATGGGACCAACTCCATGTCACTTAACAACTACCACCAAGACACCTACAGCTTGAGGCTGACCTGGAGGCCTCCTTGTTCCCCACATGCTTGCCCCTCCCTCCCCTGTCCCTCCAACACAAGTCCTTTTGCAGGGGGGCGCTCTATGGCAGTCTGGGGTGTGTGATGGAGGGGACACACAGAAGGCAGGAAGAGACACCAGGACCAGGAGACATCGGAGATGCTAAGGTTTATTTGCAAATAAGGGCAGGTGAGGCAGGGGTGCTTCCTGGGTGCAGGTCCCTCTCCCACCCGGTCCGTTTGGTCCCTTGGCCATCTGGCCTTGCTACAGGCTGCCCACTCTGTCCACGAGGGCCTGGGCAGGCCCCAGTCTGCTCTTCGGTGGTTATGGCTGGCAGATGTGCTGGCCCACAGTAGCGGGGTGGGATGCTCCGTTTCGCTTCTAGGTGTCCCTCTGTCACCAGGAGGGAGTGAGGCCAGGTAGGGAAATAGGGGAGGGGTTCCTAGAGGGTGGTAGTGAGAGCCCAGCAGGCTAGGTGGGCTCCGAGGTGTGTCTGTGGCTGGGTAAACATGTTCTGGCTCCAGGGGACTCATGTCATCAGATATAGACTCAGGTCAAGAAGGTGTCGGAGGGAGCCGAGGGCAGGCAGGCTGGGCCACAGCCGCACTCGTCCACCTGGGTGTAGCTGTGCCGGATCCGTGTCCCATCTGGACATAGCAGCATCACCTCCTCCTCGTGCGTCTTGGTCTCTTGGCAGCAGGCACAGTGGCGCTCCATGGTCTGTGCCTCTGCCGAGTACCTGGGCACAGAGGGCACCTCAGCTCTGGCCCTTCGCTGCCCCTGACCTGTCTTCCTCCCTGCTCCGGCCCCTGCTGACCCACAAGACGCCATCCCTGGGCTTGAGCTGCTGGTAGCTGGGACTGTCTGGGGTGAGCGGGCCTCTTCCCTAGCCTCAGGAGAGGGGGTCCCACTGGGGTGTCTCCTGAGGCTCTGGAGTGCTGGTGGGGATGGGCTGGGGCGGGGCAGTGGGGGTGGGTCACAGAGCCCAGACTCACTTGGAGAACCCTGGGCAGGAACCCTCGCAGAAGTTGATGCTGACAGCTGAGTCGGTCACGCAGTCCAGGTGTCTCAGGACCGTGGTGTTGGCCTGCACTTGGCACTTGTCTGGGTGGGTGGAGGATGATTGAAGGACGGGTAAAGGCAATGAGCGCCCCGCCTACCTCGACTTCGCGTGCCCAGCCTTCCTGCTTGGATCCACCCAGCACCCTCGCCCGCCCTACGGGAGTGGTGTTTTGTCTCATGGCTGCCCTTGGAAAAGGGGTCCTTGGCCCAGCCCAGCGTTGGATGTAGGCCGCCCTCACAGAAGGGGGTCGGGTGGGAAGCAGACCTCGACTTACCCACTTCCTCACAGTAGTAGCAGCAACCCCTTTTCCTGAGGACCCCCTGCAGGACCAAGGACAGAGGAGCAGAAGTGAAGGGGACCTCCCTGGTAACAGCCGGAAATGGAGAGGTGGGGTGGGGGTCATACCGGGTGTGGTGAATGGGAGTCTCTCGGGTAGAGTGAGGGGTAAGGTGGAAGTGAGTTGTCCCAGGAAAGGAGTGACAGGTAAGGGGGGTTGGTGGTGGGGCAGGAAGATGGACTTCCCTGAGGTGGGCAGGGCTTAGGAGGGGCGGAGCTTCCAGGGGCCTCCCTATAGGAGGAGAAGGGTAAAGCCTTCTGGGGTTGGAGGGAGCGGAGGAAGCGACCCCTAGTGGCGGGGCCGGAAGGCGGGAAGCACACACCCTGCAGGCTGTCACATCGGGGCAGGGCACCGGCTGCGGGACCAACATGAAGTTCCCATCCGTGGCCTCGCAGCGGTATTCGGTGCAGTTGTCCAGGCGATGGTTGACCCAGGTGTCGTTGGGCTAAAATCAGGGTTGGGTAGCAGAGACGAGTGGGTCAGGGTTATCTCGTGAGCCCAAGAAAGCCTGGTGAGGGTCTCCACTATGCCCACTGCCCTGAGATGCTACCTGCACGGGCTGCTCGTCGGGCGTGAGGCAGGTGATCTGCACACAGTCCCCGCAGCACTGCCCAGCCGTCTTCCTGTACTCGAAGCCCTGTGTGGGGACAGTGGACAGAGGGGCCGTTAGGTCAGCTTGAACACACGCCTTCAGCCTATCCCCAGCCCTAGCCTCCTGCACCTCCCTCGCGCCCCCTGCAGGTCGAATCGGCCCTGCTTGTCCCAGTCTGGCCTAACCACGCCCCCTTTTCTCTGTCCACTCCTGCCTTCCAGGAGCCTGACCTAGCCTCTGCTCCCCAAGGGCCTGGTGCATTCAGAGTGGGGTTGCCCTCAGCTGGTTTAGGTCACTGGTTGTCCAGGGCCAGTCTTGTCCCTATTGGCCATTTGCTGTATTTTGGCCCCTCACACACCCCACCTCTCCATTTACCCCTATCCCAAGCACTGCGATGAGCTTGGGACAGTGCACACAGCAGGTGCTTAATAAATACCTAGGGCTGCAGGGCTTGCCAACAACTCAGCTGGGCTGGCATTGAGTGGTGGGGTGTGTGGGGTCCTGGATCTGGGGACCCACCTTAGGGCAGGTGGTATCACAGACATCCTCCTCACACTCCACAGTTGGAGGCTGGGTATCCCTGGACATGCAGGTGCAGGTGTGGCAGGGCACGACCCCCGGGAAGATTGCCCCAATCTGCGGGGGAGGCAGGGGTGACATCAGGGAGTGGTAGGGAGTCATGGCCAGGTCCCCAGACATGGTCAGATGGGTTGTGCCACCCAGCTGGGTACCATCAGATCCCAGGTGGGCAGAGGGATGTGTGGGCAAGGTCTGCTGATGCCCAAAGCCTCCACAGCAGCAGATGTTGGCAACACAGTCCCACAAAGCTCCCACTTGACGGTACCCCCCCCCCATGACCCTACATGCCCCTCTGTCCATCACATCCTGGCATGGAGTTGTGGGCTTAGAGCCCCTCTGCTTCTCAGCCCACATGCCAGGAAAGGGCAGCCTGGGCTGGGCATGTCCACAGGAGAACAGGAGTCCCCATAATGTGCCAGGGTCACCACCCACACCCGACTCTCGGCCAGGTTCTGAGTCCTAGGGGTCAGACAGCCTTCTGCGGAGGAGTAGCAGGGTGGGCCTGCACCTTACCCCATAGGCGGTCCCGTTGTAGTTGCAGAGCTGAGGCCCTGGAAGGGAAGATGAGCTGAGTGCTGCTGGTGCCTGAGTGTCCCATACCCCCAGCTGCCCAGCCAGAGGGCTGCCTGACACCCCCAGGACCCCCCCCCGCAAGAGGAGTGCCAGGCACCCCCAGCCCACCTAGCTAAAGGGGTGCCCAATGCCCCCAGCTGTGTCCAGTCAGAGGGGTGCCCAACCCCCCCAGTCCCACCCTACCAGAAGATACCTCAACCCCCACCTAGGTAGAGGGGTTTCCCACACCCCGAGTCCACCCAGCAACCCCAGACCAAGAAGCAGGGCTCTACTCACTGCAGCTAAAGGTGGGGCAGCAGGCGTCCTCCTCTTGGGTGCGGATCAGCTCCAGGCCGGGCCCACACTCGGGTGGGTCCTGGGGGCAGGTGGTCGCATTGCATACTGTGGGCAGAAGCAGATCTTCAGGGGGCTGTGGAGGACCACCTGACACCACCGCCTCAGTTCCCTTTCTGACATATTAGTTCCCAGTGCCTCCAGAGCATCCTCACATCTTAGCCCCAAAGATGTGTTTTCTCCATGGTAGTCTAGGGCACCCAAGCCACGATTGCCCCTCATAGTCACTGAATCCAATGCCACCACCTCCCTTGGCACATGGCATCCCATCCCCTGTGACACCCCAAGGGCTCACCACACAAGGTCTCAGGGCAGCATGGATTGTCAGCTCGGGGCCTGGTCACATTCACGAAGCCAGGGCGGCCGCACTCCTGGGGCTCATCCAATAGCTCACACTGCACCGGCCGGCAGTGCACAGTCGCTGGCCTGTCCTCACACACACAACTCTGGCAGTTACTGACCCACTGCTCACCCGGCTGTAACAGACCAGATCAGGGTCCCGGCGTGCTCCTGGCCCCCACCCCTGACCAGGTCCCTCAGGCTGCCCAGTTAACTGTGGCCTCTGTCCTCCACAAGGGCCAGACCAGTCCCTTGGTCAGCCAGCCACCCTCCCTCAGGCCACCCTCCCTGGACCAGATGGTGACCGGTGTGGGAGGACATATTGCTGTGAGGGTCCACACCAACCCCCCTCCATATGAAGGGGCACCAGCAGAGGCAGGGTGGGGGAGGGGTGGGAAGAAGGCAGAGCCACTCACGAATTTGGGGAACCCGTCCGGTCCCACGCAGGCTACAGAGAAGAACAGGGTGGGTCACTGGGGTGCTGGGGTTGAGCCATGGGAGTGGTCCTCAAGTGGCTGCTCAGGCCCTACCCAGCCCCCAGCCCAGGCCTCCAAGTCACACAGAGACACCAGGAAGGAAGGAAAAGGTACGCCCAGGTAGGTGGGTGCCCCTTTAAGCAGTGGTGCCACAGATCCTCATATGGGCCCAAGCTCCCACCCACATGGCTCTGCAGGGCTTAGGTCCCTAGGACTGCATCACTGCCCTGGTCGGGTGGACAGGGTCCAAGGAATGATGGGCTGGGGAGTAGACGTGCTGGCGTGGACTTGGTTCTGCAACTGTGGAGGGCACGAAGGCCCAACCCAGGGTGCGCCCAATGTCTCCCCTTCTCCCCACCCTCTGCTGGGGGCTGGGGCTAGGGGCGCATGGCTGGGGCTACCCCAGCAGTGGGAATTAGGTCTTGCCCTGGCCATGGAGACAGATGGATACTCACGACATTCTGGCACACAGACGCCGGTGTGCACATTGAAGAGGATCTCACCATCAGGACAGAAGCAGCCCTCTGCCAACCCAGGGCTAATGGGGCTTTGGATCCTGCAAGGCCAGAGGGCAGTGCTGGGCCCTTGGGTTCCTGGAGAGCCCAGTGGATGGCCCCAAGGCAGGCAGTGCACACTCTGGGCTTCCAGAGGCCTGAGGAGGGTGTTGTGTGCATGCGTGCCTGTGTGTGTGTGTGTGGGAGGGGGGTTCATGTAGGTTGAGTGGGCAGGGTTGTTCCTGGGGTCTGGGGTGAAAGCACACTTTGTGGTCTCTGGCTGTAAAGAAACCAGGAACCTGAAGGGATACCCAAGAGGTGGGAAAGGACCCCCAGAGATCTCGGGGAACCCTAGCCTGCTGGCTCCGGGATGCACTCCTCATCAGGTCTCCTCCTGGCTTCTCCCAGAAACTTTGGGCTGGAGAGCACCCTCTACCCTGTTGTCCCCAGCTGCCCACCACCGCCACTGCCTCCAGGTCTCATTTCTCACCATTTGTCCTCATGGCTCCACTGTCCCTCGGTCCCCACAACCCCATTCCCCTTCTCCATCCTGCATCCCTACTGCCCCATCTGTCCCCAGTGGTGGTCATACCTAGAGTCACAACTCTCAGGCTGCACGGGGCCACACGGCTTGTACACCTTGGTGGGTGGGCAGCTGAAGTCTGCAAGCAGAGGATGGGGTCAGACAGGCCGAGGTGGGCAGAGTTCCCGGAGTCCCGGCAGCTGGCTGACTTACCACACAGCCCATTGGTGGCATTACGCCAGTTGCTGCATGCACCCCAGTTTCGGCAGACTGCAGCGTAGGCCTCCAGACTCTCACAGAGCAGCTGGGAGCCGTCTCCCTGGCAGCTGTCACTGACACAAGCCATGAAGAAGTAGCTGGGTGGGACGAGGTTGTGGCACTCCTCGAAGATCCTGCCAGTGACAGTGGACATCAGGGCCGCAGTCCTGGGACTCAGGCAGAAGGGTCTCCCAACCACTGAGCCCACAGGGAGGGACTCACGGGCTCAAGATCAGCTCGCAGAGTGGGGACGGAAGACATGGGGTGGGCTCAGTGGATGGAGTGGATGCCGTGAGTGAGGTGGATGAGCTGGACACCGTCGATGGGGTGGACATGGAGGGTGGTGGACTGGTGGGTGGTCTGCAGCCCTCCTTGCTGACATCGGGCACCAGCCAATGCCTGGCCATGTCCTTACAGGTGGGTGCTATGGTGCCGTCCGGACGGCGGCAATCATCCACCTGACTGTTGGTGCAGGTACCTGGGACAGGAATGGAAGGTCACCTCAGGTCCAGGTCAGACCCCCAGGGTCCTCCCCTCCCACCCCAGACCCCCCAGTGACTGAGGCTGGAACTGCCTGGGGGAGGTGGGGTCCAGAGCCAAGGTCGTGGGCTGATGCAGCAGCAGCCATGTGAGTGGGCGTGGGTCAGGTGGACCCAGGGGGGCTGCGTAAGGACCCTCACCGCACTGGCCCTCTGTGTTGTGGCTAAAGTGGCTATAAGAGAGTTGAGCCTGGAATATGCTCCCGTCGAAGATGATGTAGGCGCCGATGGCAGGGATGTGCACCCCCATGGTACCAGACGCTGTCTCAGACACGCTCACACCGTTCTTACTGAAGCCGCTGCTGACGTGTTTACCGTCGAACAAGATCTGGGGTGTGTCCATAAAGATTACCACCGATGACTACAGTGCTTCCCATACCCCACCTCCCCACAGCACCAGGTTCTCCCTCTCAAGCACAGTTCACTGAGTTTGCCTGCGTGCTGTCTGCCCCTTTGGGGGTCCACAGAATACCCCTCTGCACAAAGCCCCTCAACCTGCCTGCTCCCAGACATCTCCACACGTGTAACCCCAGTCAATGTCGGGTTCCCCAACCAGCAAGGTAAGCACTGGTTTACTTGCACTTAGTTACTAACCTGTAGTGAACAAATTCACACTTTTCCAAAACATCCAAGATTCTGTCTCTAGATCTGGCTGGCCTCTATCTCGTTCCCCCTTCCTACAGAACGAAAGCTGCTTCTCCGATTCCCAAGCCCTGGCAGGGATGGGTCTCCTTCCAGCCAGGGGCAGCCGTGGGTACAGTCTGTGCCCAGGATAGACCGCCTTAAGTGATCTGGTGACCCTTTGGGCCTACTGAGCTGCGGTGTGGGGAAGTGGGGTTGTGCTGTGACCAGGGTCCATTCACTGGTCCCCAGCCCCCCACTCTGAGGGAGCCTTTACAAGTGACAGAGGCCCTACATGACATGGGGGATGGGGCATGGTCAGCACGATTCCCAAGAGCACCTGAGTGCACTTTGGTTTCCCACGTGGCTAGTGATGTTGGGGGGCAGGCTCTCCTCTCATTGTAACCTCTATGCTGCTGGAGCTCTGAGGCTCTATCCTTGCATCCCCTCCCCAGAATCTTCCCCTTCTGGTCCCTCCTGTCCAGTGCTGGGTCTCCCTGTGCACCCCGACCAAGGGGTCCCTGCAGCGCCCCTGCCCTAGTATTGGTGAGTCCCTCCCTGCCCTGTGTCTGCCTCTTCTCCTTGCAGCCAGCTCCACGCTCTCCTGTCCTCCAGGACTGTGTCCTTCCAGCCCCACACCCCCACCCATGTCCCTTCAAGAAAGCCCAGTGCGTTCCAGAGGCACCCCGCCACCTGTGAGTGGCTCTTGGGCTTCCTGCCACTCACTACCCCTTTCCACACCAGGGACCACAGGGATGGGGCAGGCAGGGTAGGACTCACCAGGCTCTGCATCTTCCCTTCGCCAAGATCGGTGACGGTGAGGACCACCTCCATGGACAGGTAATAGATCAGGATGGCAGGGGGACAGAAGCTGGCGTCCACTGCATCAGCTGCACAGTACTGGTGATCCATGAGGACACTCAGGTTCCCGTGCTGTGGGTGAATTTCCCGCAAGAGCACATAGGTGCAGTTGTCCGCGAAGGTAAAGACAGTGCCATCGAAGGTGGAATAGGAGTCTCCCCAGCTGGTGCAGATGCCTGTGGGGCAGACAGCATGGCGGGGCTCATGGGGGTTGGTCCTCACTGCTGCGTCGCCTCCTGTTACCTCGAGAGCCATTCAACCTCACCAGCCTCAGCAATAAAGGGGGCAGGAGGGGCTCAACAGACACAGCTGCCCAGAACTTGTGGGTGGGGTCCTATTTGGAAAAGGGGTCCCTGAAACTGTCATTAACCTGAAGGCCTCAATATGAGAAGATGCAAAGGAAATTAACTATATCTTGAATTGGGTTTTAAGGTTAATACCACCAATCTACAATTTTACCAGATATCCAGTTCTGATTTTCAAGTCACTGATAATTTTCCCAATAGGATGTGATCTTATTAACTTATTATAATTGTTAGGTGATGCTGAATCATACTTCTTGTATGTCAAATAGAGCCAAACCCTGCCCGGTCCTGCATTACCATCCTCACAATCACTGCTCTATATAAACCCATTGTTGCGGCCACTGTCTGTCCATCTCATTGAGGGACTTCCTCTTTTTTACTGACCCCCTACTTTACCAAACATGATGTCCTTCCGAGACTGGTTCCTCCTGACCACATGTCCAAAGTACACAAAATAAAGTTTCGTCTAGCCATTGTCTGGCCATCCTTGCTTCTATGAAACATTTTGCTGTCTTCTTCCAAGATGTTGTTGTCAGGTGCCATCGAGTCAGTACCGACTCATAGTGACCCTATGCACAACAGAATGAAACACTGCCCCATCCTGGACCAACCTCACTACTGTTGCCACGCTTGAGTCCATCGATGCTGCCACTTGGCCAATCCATCTTGTTGGGGGTCTTCCTCTTTTTCTCTAATCCTCCACCTTACCAAACATGATATCCTTCTCCAGGCTATATAGTCTTTGATTCTCTCATCACTAAGTTGTTGTTGTTGTTGTTGTCAGGTGCCATCGAGTTGGAACCGACTCATAGTGACCCCATGCACAGCAGAACGAAACAATGTCCAATCCTGGAACCTCATTACCACTGCCACACTAGAAGCCATCAATGATGCCACCTGGCCAATCCATCTCATTGGGGATCTTCCTCTTTTTCTCTGACCCTCCATCTTACCCAGCATGACATCCTTTTCCAGTGACTATTCCCTCCGGACAATATGTCCAAAGTATGAGAGACGAAGCTTAGCCATCCTGGCCTCCAAGGAGCACTCTGACTGCACTTCTTCCAAAACAGATCTATTGGTTCTTTTGGCAGTCCATGGCACTTTCAGTATTCTCCTCCAACACCACAACTCAAAGGCATCAATTCTTCTACGATCTTCCTAATTCACTGTCCAGCTTTTGCATCCATATGAAGCTTTTGAAAATACCATGGCTTGGGTCAGGCGCACCTTAGTCCTCACGCTGACATCTCTGCTCTTCAATACTTTAAAAAGTTCCTGTGCAGCAAATTTGCCTAATACAATACGTCGTCAGATCTCTTGACTGCTGCTTCTGCGAATGTTGATAGTTGATCCAAGAGAATGAAGTCCTTGACAACCTCAATTTTTTTCTCCATTGATAAGAATGTTGTTTATTGGTCCAGTGGTGAGGATTTCTGTTTTCTTGACATTGAGATGCAATCCATACCGAAGGCTGTGTTCCTTGATCTTCATCAGTAATCAAGTATTCCTTGATCACTTTCAGCGATCAAGGTTGTATCATCTGCATATCACAGGTTGTTAATGAGTCTTCCTCCAGTCCTGATGCCACGCTTTTCTTCATAGAACCCAGCTTCTCGTATTATTTGCTCAGCATACAGGTTGAATAAGTACGGTGAAAGAACATACCTTTCCCAATTTAAAAACATTCAGTGTTCCCATGCTCTGTTTGAACAACTGCTTCTTGGTCCAGGTACAGATTCCTCAGAAGTACAATTAAGTGTTCTGGAATACTCATACTTTACAATGTTGTCCATAGCTTGTCATGATCCACACAATCGAAAGCCTTTGCGTAGTCAATAAAGCACAGGTAAACATCCTTTTGATATTCTCTGCTTTCAGCCAAGATCCATCGAACATCAGCAATGATATCTTTCTTTCCACGGCCTCTTCTGAATCCAGCTTGAACCTCTGGAAGTTCTCTGTCAATGTATGATGTAGCCGTTCTGTATTACCTTTAGCAAAACTTTACTCGCTTGAGATACCAAAGAGATTGTCTGATGATTTCCACGTTCCGTTGGGTCACCTCTCTTTGGAATGGGCACAAATATGGATCTCTTCCAATCAGTTGGCCAGATAGTTGTCTTCCAAATTTCTTGGCAGAGATGAGTGAGTGCCTCCTGTGCCACCTCACTTTCTTGAAAGATTTCAATTTTTATTCCATCAATTCCTGGTGCTTTGTTCTTTGCCAATTCTTTCAATGCATTTTGGACTTCCTCTCTGAGTATCATTGGCTCTTGTTCATATCACTAAGTTATTTAAGTCTTATTTGCTTTTAGCCAGCAAGGTTGTGTCATCTGCATATGGCAGGTTGTTAATGAGTCTCCCATTATTTCTAGCCCCGACCTTGGTTCCTGGTTCCTGAGGCTACCTGCCGCCCTGGGTACCCTGGGGGCCTGCTCCCGGAAAGGTACTGCCAGACTCCCTCCTGACCTTGGGATCCGCTCCGCCACTGCTCAGCTGTGGAGTCGGTTCCGACTCTTATCGACCCTGCATAGGGTTTCAGAGGCTGTAAATCTTTACGGGACCGTGGAGCAGCTGGTAGTTTCGAACTGCTGATTGTGGGGTTGACAGCCCCACTCATACCTGCTGATTGTGTGGTTGGCAGCCCCACTTGTAAGCTCTATGCTATCAGAGCTCCACGAGAAGGCCTGAGCGTCCAAGAAGCACAAGGCTCCGCCCTGGCTCCGCCCCCACCCAGGTCCTGCCCATACACGAAGCTGGCTCCCGCCCCTAGAACGCCCCCAGCGTCAACCCACCTACCACTGCCCAGGCCCCGCCCATATAGGACGTTGGCCCCGCCCCTGAGCAGCCCTACCCTAGTCCTGATGCTGACCCATCGGGCCAAACTCACATTCGCATTCGTAATGATAGTCGCAGGGGTCGCTCTGGTTCTGCACTTTGACCGGCTGGTACTGGTTCGCGCAGGTAACATTGGCCACGGGCTTTGGCTCCAGAAGGACGATGCGATTATCACCTTCGCACCTGGCCACAGTGCAGTCCGCCAGCGTCCAGGTCTCATTCACCTGTTGGCAGAGCACCACTCACGTGACCCACCCTGCTGGGGTCTAGTCCAGGCCTATGTGCTGACTGCGACCCAGGAACACCCTCCCTGAGCACTGCTGGGGACAGAGGGGGAAGGGCATTACATGTCACGACCTTGCCCCAAGGGACCCTCAGCTGGCCCAGCAGGGACCGTACCCACACTCCCCCCACGCCATCTCAGCAACTCAGGCACCTTAGACAATGGGAGGGAGCAGAGGAAGGATGCAGGGGTGTACCTGTCGGGGAGGGATGGCATGGTCACACCCTGGAGCAGGCGATGGCGGGGGTGTGGACATAGTGACGGGGATAGAGCTTGGTGCCACCGAGGAGGCAGGTGGTAAGGTAGTGGGGCAGGTGTCCTGGAAGCGGTCGATGTTACACTGCTGGTTGCAAATGGCATAGAAGTGGCAGCCGGCCTTGTCAGTTTTATTGTAGATGACTTCCCCTGGGAAGGAGAAAAGTCACGTGCAGAGTTAACAAGCGGCGCTGGACATCCACATGCAAAACTGTGCATCTAGACTCAGACAGTGCAACGCGCTGCACCAAGGACTCAAACTGGATCGTGCATGTAAATGGAAGCCATTGAACTGCACTGGGCTTCTTGGTGCTGGCACCGGAGAAGATCCAGTGATCTCAGGTTTGGGGATGACTTTTTAGATCCAGCACCAAAATCATGACCCACAAAATCAGGACCTCACTGAAACTTAACATTTCTCCTCTGCAAAGCAGTCTGTTAAAAAGGAAAACAAGACATAGACTAGGAGACAATATTCACAAAGCATATCTATGATAAAGGAGTTGTGTCCAAGATACAAAAGGAACTCCTACATCTAAATGGTAAAACAGAATCCAATTTAAAAATGTGCAAAAGTCCTGAACAGACAGCTCAAAACACAAGCCGTACAGCTAGCAAACAAAGCTCATAAAAAGATGCCCATCATTGTGTTACTAACCCCAATCACCCAACTGCTGTAGAGTCAGTACCAACTCATAGTGACCCTATGTGCAATGGAAGGAAACCCTGCCTGGTCCTGAACCCTCCTCACAATCATGGTTACACTGGAGTCC